ATCAGGTACAAGTAGTTACACTGACACAGATATATATATATATATATATATATTTACACAGTATGGAAAAAGAGGTCACACGACCGGATACTGTTGCACGACTTAGAACAGATATCTTGGCACCCTAGGGTGTTGGTTTAGAGTAGGGTTGTTTTGTTCAATTAAGATGGATTCTTTGATTTTTTGTATGTTTATGTTTGGTTCTTTGTTTAAGATTACTGTGTTTTTAATAGATATAGACCGGGGTCGGTTGATTTGACTGATTCACGTGACCTTTTGTGCTCATTTAAAGTTGACATAAATTTAATACTTATAACTCTGTATACATTGGGTATATCTTCATGAAATTTGGCAGTCTTTGAGTTAATATTACAAGTCTTTCACATATAAAAAGTCATATTTCTTAGTGAAGTACTTTTACTGAAATAAAATAAAGTTTTGTTCATGAATATATTGAATATTTGTTTTGAATAGTCCGTGTGCAAAGTAATTTTCATGTTAAAATTAAAAATACCTTTCGTCATCTCAAAAATCTCAAATTTCCTTTGTGTAATCCCTAAAACCTCCTAAATGCATTTCAAACTTTATTTTTACTAAATCCTTATAGTTTATATGTTATTTTCTCTACCCTAATCTCAAAACTGGATTGGTCAATTCGACCGACCTCGTAACCACCAAAAAAAAAATCAAAATAAACCTAAATTAACCTTCTTTTCTTTATAGTATGACTTCAGATTTTAACCTGAAACTACATTTGTTTATCCTAAGTAACTCTAAGTTCGTAACATTGTAAATCTATTTATAATCAAATTTTATTGTTTTATTGCCCTTTGAACCATGTCTAGCTGCTATTCGTGTCATTATAAGTTGTAAATCACTCAGGGAACGTGTAGCTCACATTGCGCTATCGAATTACATTACCCATGAACTGCTGGCATTCGTGCTTCATGAACAATTTTAATTATATTATTATCATTATTACTTATTTTACCTATTCTAGTCTTAAATAACTTAAAAAGAATTCTACTTTTAATTTTAGTTACTTTTATAATAATAAATAAATAAAGAATAAATATGAAAAACAAGCAATAAAGTACTTACCCAATCTTATTTTTTCTTGACCTCGATTGTCGAGTAGAGTTAAGCCTGATTTTTTTAGCGATTATAGTAAAGCACTTAACAATTTTCAGTTACTTAAATAATACACCAAAGAATATAGACTAATAACATATAAAAAGGAGACAAATTCACATCTAAAAGTTTTCCTGGCTTTCTAACTATGAGACAAAAGCTGTTAGAAATTTATCCAAGCTAGTCGTTAACTTTCCAACGGGAATGATGTTGCTACTCAGAGTGACATTGACGGTTATCTGTTCAGAACACAATGTTATACAATACGCCATTTGATAGATGAAAACCTTGATATTCTATTGGTTATAAGTAATATATAATGAAACGTAAGAGAAAACTATCAACCAATTGTAAAAGAGAGGATGTGAGAGGTGGGTGTGGCAGGAGGGGTCTGATTTTCTCTTTGATAGCTCTGTAACAAAACAAAATTGAAGGCCATAAAAATTATGGTCTGTTTGAGCAATAACGATTTTATCGAGAGCATTTTACATTTAATTTCATACATTTTCGAGGGGTTATGGATAAAATAGGGATGATGACATGCTAAGACAAAATTTGTCATGTGTATTACACTAGCGGAAATTCAGGATTTTTTTATATATTTACTTTTAGAATTAAGAACTTAAAACTTGTATACTATTAAAATATGGATTATTAGCTAAGATTTTATGCTATTCTAATTGATATAACATAAACAAAAAGTAGTTTAATAAAATTTTGAATGTAAGACACTAAAACTTTGTCATGCGCAGTAAAGTGCACCCAGGCCGATAGGGTTAATAGCTATACTATGGTTTTTTGAGTTGCAATGGTGGAAACATGGGAAAGTTTTTTATTGTGTTCTGTGAATCTGGTATAATGGTTTCAATAAATATTTTTCATTGTGTACAGTGCAGTTTTGTATTTTGATTACTTATTCCCCAAATTTATCAGTTTAAAATTTCAATTATTTAATGAAATATTCAAAAATGTATTTTTTATTTTTACTTTTTATCTAAAAATAAACTTAGCACTCAGTGAGTTGTTTATTTACAAACATGGTAGCAAAAGAGTTAAATATCTGTGATTTGTAGTTTTAGGTGCTTAAAGACTTGTCAACAGTCTTGTGTACTAGTCTAGATGGATTTTTTGTTTGCAAAAAGCAATATTAATTATGTACGTACATTGCATATTAAGTTCATTGGCATGCAATATTTTACATGGAATGTATAATGTTCATTTGTTTACACAATATGTTGTTGTTTTTAAGATGTTGACATGTAATGGAACCCAGGATGTTGTGGGTTGAAACACCTAAACTCTTACTTCTTTATAAACAGTTATAGTAATATTCCACTGCTACTTACCTATTTTTTCATTTTGTGATTTGGAGAATTTCTTGAGAGATTTGATGTCTCAAATACCTTTGGTTGCTATTTCCCCAGATGTCATTCTCTAAAGTTGTATCTTTTGCATTTTTTAAAATTGGTATGACTAATTTTTTATAACCTAAAGTTACATAAGAAATATTTTAATCTCTTTGAATATATTTGTTTAAACATTTGTTTAACAACAAGTAAAAGCTTGGAATAGTCTATTCTTTCATT